GTCATGACAAAAGTACCTAATCACATATCCCTTTTAAACAGTTTTCTCCCTCATCTGTTTCAATGCAGTATACATTATTGAACTCATCTTTTCTCAGTATCCCCCCAACCCCGATGTCAGTCCTGTTTTACAATAGTGGCACCATGCATTATTTGTCCTTTTGTGACTTGAGATAGTTCACTCATCATAATGTCCTCCAGGGTCACCCATTTTTAATAATATTGCATGTGTTCCTTGTTTTTAATGCAGCGTAGTATTCCATTGTGTGAATATACCACAGCTTCCCTATCCATTTGTTTGTTGATGGGGTTGTTTCCAACTCCTTGCTACTGTAAACAAAGCCACGATAAACATGGGTGTGCATATATCTGCTTGGGTGTCAATTAGGGTACAGTGATCTTCCAATAGAAAACCTTGTTTAAACTCTTTGCCTCTACTATCAATTCTCCTTTCCTAGGAGACACAGTGACTGCAGCAGTGGGTTCAAGTGGTCAGAGATTGTGAGGATGTACAGGGTTGTTCATAGAGTCACTATGAGTTTTCTGGACAGCACCTAACAAAAACAATCATAAACCAGGGAGCTCTGGCAGCCAAGTGATGAGTTAAATTGTCAACCCAAAGGTACACAGTTTCTTATCCACAAGCTGCTCTGCAGAAGAAAGATGGACAGTTTCCTCCCCTGTGATTTGCTGCCTCTGAAAACCTGAAAAAGGTCAGCTATGAGTCAGCTCTGACTTGGTAGTACACAACTGTTGTTGTTATATGCTGTTGAGTCATCTGTGACTCATAGCAACCCTATGTACAACAGTCCTATACCCTGCTGTATCTTGTGCCAATCTTATTGTCTCTGACATACCTACTCTCATTATCCCAGTTACTGAATCAGTTGTCTCATAGAGGGACTTCCCCTCCTGCACTGTCCCTCCAACATCTTGAGCATGACATCCCTCTCCAAGGACTGGTCCTTCTTGCAACATGTCCAAAGTATGTCAGATGAAGTTTCAGAATTTTTGCCTCCAAGAAGCAGCCTGGTTTAACCCTCTACAGGGCGAACCTGTTCATTCTCTTAGCAGTCCATGGTATATTCAATACACTTCTCCAACACCACAGCTCAAAGGCATCAATTCTCTTTCTATCATCCCTAGTCATTGTCCAGCTTTCTGATGCATAGCAAGACCTTAAAAAGATCATGGCCTGCATAAGGTGCACCTTAGTCTCCAGACTGACATCGCTGTTCTTCAGTACTTTGGAGAGGTCTCTAACAGCAGACTTTTCCATCACAATACATCTTTTAATTTCCTGTCTGCTGGTGCCAAGAGTGTTGACCGTGGAGCCAAGAAAACTAAAGCTGTGAATAATCTCAATCTCTTCACCATCTATCATGATGCTGCCAATTGGCCCAGTGGTGAGAATCTTTGTATTCTTGATATTGAGCTTCAATCCATATTGAAGGCTGCAATCGACCTTCTGCAGCAAGCACTTCAGATCCTCCTCTGTTTCAGCAAGCAGAGTTGTGTCATCTGCATAACGCAGATTGTTGGATGAGTCTTCCTCCAATCCTAGTGCCACATTTCTCCTCATAGAGCCCAGCCTCCCAGATAATCTTTTCTGAATATAGGTTGAAAAGGTATGGAGATAGGACACATCCCTGGTGTAGACCCTTCCCAGTTTTGAGCCATGCAGTGTTTCCTTGCTCTGTTCTGTCGACTGCCTCCTGGTCCAAGTATAGGTTTCATATTAGCATAATCAAGTGTCCTGGGATGCCCATTCTTCTCAGAGTTATCCACAGTTTGTTGTGATCCACACATTCAAAAGCCTTTGCATAATCAATGAAACACAGACAGACATCCCTCTGGTATTCCCTGCTTTCAGCCAAGATCCATCTAACATTAGCTACAGTATCCCTAGTACCATGACCCCTTCCAAAGACAGGCAGTTCACATTTACCAACTGCGCTGTGGGAGAAAGATAAACACTCTCTCCTGTGAAGTTTTAACTTCTGAAAACTTAATGGAGGCTCACCTCTGAGTCAGTTATGATTAAACAGCAGTGAACACACACACATAGGATGCGGAGCACCTGGTGTATTCGAACCCCTTTGCTTTGGGGATTGCAGTGTAGTTTCTTACTACTAGGCCATCAGAGCTCCAGCAATCCCATTACTAGATATATATTCCAAAGAAATGAGAATCCATGCCTCTGAACTGTAGTGTTCATGAAGAGTATTGACCAAAAGAACAAATACGTCTGTCTTGGAAGAAGTGTAACCACGGAGTTCCTTGGAGGCAATTATGGGGACCCACCATCTCTCATATGTTTATTATGTTATCAGGAGAGCCTACTCCTTTAAAAAAGACATTGTGTCAAGCTGGAAAAGGTAGAGGGTTAACAAAAGAGAGGGCAACACTTGAGATGGATTGACACAGTGACTGTAAGATGTCAGAGATTGTGAGGATGATGCAGAATAGGGCAAAGTTTGGCTCTGTTCCCAGGGTTGCTTTGAGTTGTAGTTTGAAGTTTGATAACACCTAACAACAGCAAGAGCTAGTGATCTTGAGCATCTCTTTATGTGTTTGTTGACCATATGGGTGTCGTCTTTTCATGTCTCTGTCCATTTTGTCACTGTGGTATTTGTCTTTCTCTTGTTGAGGTACTGAAGTTTTCTCTAAATTTTAGAGACATGTTTTTGGGCTTTTTTTTTTTTTTTTTTTTTTT